TCTCAGTGCTATACAGAGTTCCTGATGGACAGTAAGATGAAGATAGAAGATATATACTTTATTAATCCCCTATTGGGGTTAGGTTACCTTGCTCAAGGGCAGCCTCGGCAGTGCACAGGAGGTGAGAACCTGCACCTCTCCCAGCTACCAGTCCACACTCCCTATTGTGGTCTGTGGAATTTGAACCAGCGACCCTTCGGTTCCCAAGCCAAGTCCCTACACACTGAGCTACTGCCACCCCAAGTAAAGTAACTTTATTAATTTTTTATTAATTTATCACGCAAATGATTAAAGGTCCAGTGTGTAGGATTTAGAGGCATCTAGTGGTGAAGATTCAGATTGCAACTAACTGAACACCACTCGCATCAGTATTTGATGACCTGGAAACGAGAACATGCTGTTAAATGTGTAGGAGAATCCCTGTTGGCCGCAAAATTTGCAAAAATGCAAAAGGTCTGTTATTGGGTTACTGTAGAAACATGGCAGTTCATGGTGGATCATGGAAGGTGACCTGCACTGTCTGTAGATAAAAACGGCTCATTCTAAGATTACAACAAAACAATTTCTCTATTTGGGTTATAATACACTAATGAAAACATACGTATGAATATTATATTCCATTTCTTAGTTAAAAAGGTCCAGTGTGGAACATTTAGAAAGATATTTTTATTTTTATTTTTTATGCCACTCAATGAGGTTATGGGAGGGTTGTATCGCATGGAAAAGTAAGGTCAATGCAAACTCTCCTCAGGATAGTATGCAGTTATGTACATTAACTAGCTAACCTGGTAACTGTTAATACACTGTGCATTTTATAAGTTGAGCACTTGTCTTCATAATGACCCCTGATCTCCACCAGGTCTTTGCTTTTATGTGTTTTTGATTGTCATAGGAGGCTTCAATTTACATTATTTACAAACTATTATCAGGTTAGTCACTACATCACGCATTGAGCTAAAAGTTAACATGCCTTGATATCCCTATAAAGAATTGGGGGGTGGCCACGAAGATGACCCGTAAGACTGGAAGTGTTGCTCCTTTTCACAGCAATTTTCTTTCTGTATGTTCTGCAGACAGGTTGACCATCCTCAAAAGTTTCCCTCAGCACAAAAGAAACAATCCTTCTCTTAGAGGGCAAAAAAATCTCTGCAGCTCTGTCTCTGGCTTTCGCCATGCTTCCATTGATGCAAAACAAACCCAACCTGCATCTGGGAGACTGTTTTTAACTTTGGTTGATGCTGGAAAGTATTTACAGCAGGCCTTTCAAAGTATGGCAATCAAACGCGGTTTTTAGGTAGGCAGAGTTGGCAGACTCAGATACTCTTGAGGGTCAGCTACGATGTGCAATTTGAAGATCATAGCTGAAGGTATCTGTGGGCTACTTTTCATTAGCCTTGCTAACTAGGCTAATGTACTACAAGGAGTTTGTAACAGTCTAAGAAACAGATACTGATGCATTATATACCTACATAAAAAATACGACCACCAGAGAGAAGATTGGTGGGATTCCCTTTGAAATCAATGAAACAAGGGGATAGAAACACTTTTGGCCAGAGGGGTCGCCAGAATCAACACAAAATGAAAGTTCCTTGTAGGGGCTGTAAGGCATCAGTATGCTTTAACCGAAGCACTTGTTGGATCGTTGAACCCCCTCCCACTGCAAGTTTCCAACATCAGAATCTGAGCACCTGTGTCCAACATTTTCTGTAATTTTCCAAAGTCATCCAATATTTACAACTACCTTAGTGATAGGCCAGGTGTGTGGAGGTGAGAAAGCAGGCAGGGTTTGGATTTCTCCATTAAGCTCTTTATTTTTCATACAACTACTATTCAAATTTTCGACAAATGAGTGCAACACCATGAATGCCTTCAAGGACAGACTTTCCAAAAGTGGGCATATTTTAGTCTTTTTCATGGAAGACATTTTGACATATATTAGGAAAAGCACAGGTATGAATAATAAAATGAAAGATGGCTGAATTCCAAAAGAAAATTATGTTTTTCTTAGGAATGTGGTCACCCAGTATAGAATGAATATCTGAAATATCTAAAAATCCAGATACAGATCAGCCCTACCTGTCAGCTGACTTCACATTTAGGTTACTGGCTTGTATCAGAATTATTATTTCTGCCTCCATTGTGGCTCTGCCACAGAGAAAAGCCTGTAAAACTAAAGCAGATATCTACTGAGAAGTTAGTGAAGCAAGAAGACCTGCAGCAAACTTTTAATTTGAATTTCTGGCTGTGTGATGAAGTTCTTTGGCTTCACTCACTGATTCTGCCTCCAGAACGGCTCTCTGCTCAGAGAAATGTTTGGATAACTAGAACTTCAATCTGCAACTATTTAAACTTTTCCATGACTTCCCAAGCTGGCCATTAGTGCTTTTGACTGGACCCTGTGTTCAGGTGTGTACCACACTACAAAAACTGCCATATTAAAAAAAAAATAAACCCTCACTGTGAATTCCTCCCACTACAAAAATCTATGATCTTGGCAAAGAGACGCCGAGGGTTAGGAAAATATGCACAATATTAATGTAAAGGAGCAGAGAGAGTTTGCTCTGTGTTTGATAGCGTTAACAGCGAGGGGCTCAGCAGGTTCCAACATGAACTTTGCAGAGAGGAGATACACATTAAATAAGGAAACATCTGCATTCCACACAGCCTCTCTTACAACACACTGGAGCTGAATGAACATCAAAGCATATCAGATAGCAGTAAATGTTGCTCTGAAACCTATGATTTATTAGCACTGCTTCCCCGGGATGTACAACTGGCCCATTTCAGCCGGGAGGGCGGAGAGGCAGGCAGCGGTTCATTCACATAGCGCACTGTGAGGCGCTGCAGAGGCATTTGGAGGATGTTTTCAGGGTTTTTGAGGTGAGCGTGAGGAACATTAACCAGATTCTGAAAAATCACACCAATCCCATCCACTGTAATTTGACCAATATGTATGAAGCAACGTTTCTGCCAAAAACAGTTCAGGATAAAAATCCCTACTTGTATGAGCAAAGTACTATTTGTACAGGAGTGAGAACCAGTGTATCAAGCGAGAAAGTGTGCAGTGTTTTCAAAATCAGGACTGCATGGCAGTGGTTTAATGGTTCAACAAGAGCATTTTTGTCAAACAACTTGTCTATCAGACAGACAATCAGACAGGTTGGAAACAAACCAACAGTTCATCCCAATGATCTAAACCACTAAATCCACCATCTAAACTATGCCACATGTACCAATTAAAAAAAAAATAATAATAATTATTTAAAAACAACTCAAAGCGCTTTTACACTACATGCCATATTCGCCCTTTCACAAACATTCACACAGTAAAGCCCATCAAACAGAAACTAACTTATTCATACAGATTCACAAACCGATGCACAGCATCAGGAGCAATTCGGGGTTCAGTATCTTGCTCAAGGATACTTCGACATGTGGCGGAAGGAGCCAGGGATCGAACAACCTTCCGATTAGTGGACGACCCGCTCTGCCTCTGAGCCCCAGCCGTGGCTGTACTACATTCACATTTGTGCATGATAGATAGATACTCTATCTATCCCGAGGGAAATTCAAGAATTGTAGTGCATGCATATATCTCCATGATTAGTTACAAGCTAAAATGTGATGGCAAGATAGTAAACTGAGGTAATGAATGAATGGTTCAAAAACGTTGCAATCGTGACTCCAAACGGGAACTATTGGGAAGAGAAGTGTGGTGCTTTTACACTAAATTAGCTCTGGCTCATGAACTGATTCTGTTTCAGGTTTTAACAACAGTCAAAAATAAATATATCTTCTTACAAGGAATAAACTAGGGCTGCAAGATATGGTAACAAAATCATGTTGCAATTATTTTGACAGATCATGATCATTTTTGCGTCACAATTTTAATTTTCACTGGAAAAAAAAATTAAAATCCCAATGATGTGCTATTTGTTGAGGTCTGTACCAAACAAACATGTTTTCTTAAATCTGGAGATTTAAGATTTGTCAGACAGGGGACTATATTTTAACGTTGGTCACAATGGTGGTACTTAGAGAGCCTGATATTTTCTGAGCCTGTAAAACGTTTGAGAAACACTGATGTGAACCAATTTATTTGGAGGTCAAATAATGCACCTGAACAGGAAAAACTGTTTTGACACAACTGCAGTAAGTACAGTAGGTCAAAGTTGAAGCAGGATGTGAGTGAGGATTTGGCCATTCACCTTTGTCTTCTGTATAACCTGAAGGTTTGTTTCCAACCTGTCTGATCATCTGACTGCTGGTGTTTCTTGACCTAGCAGACTTCTTTTCAGTGAGTAACCACTTGGTTAATATGTCATTACTACTGAGAGGAATGATGGCCAAAACTATGAAAATAAGATAACAAACTCTTCTTTCTTTCGTGCTCTTTGTTTCCTCTCTGATTACTGACACACACATCAATTTTTCATTTGTATTGAAACTGAAATGTGTGCTGAGTTGGGAGGAAATTTTAGGACTGGCGACTGCTGGTGAACGTTACAAGAGAATGAGGGAGTGCATGTTTAAAAACTGCACAGACTCGTGCAGAATTCGTGGGATTCACAAGGGGAAGTGTGCAGCACATGAATACATAGATAGATACTTTATTTATCCAGAGGGAAATTCAAGAACAACATGCGCACTATCTCATGTTTACAACTCATCTTAACCTTCACAAACGGTGGTTGGTAGGGAGGCACCCATTTATTGGCCAAACATTGGTATCCACAGATAGCCGCCTTGTTGACTAACATCAGCCTATCGGTGGCTGTGTTTATCTGTGGTGTCACATCAATTCTGTGCTGGCTAAATGTTAAAAAAACATCTGTATTGGCTATCGGCCAAACTGTTATTTTAAACAATGGCCCAGAATTTCCCAGTTGGTGCATCCCTAGTGGTTGGCATCTTTCTTAACGTCCTCAGCAAACCTTGATATCAGTGTGACTGTAACCCCATATCCTGTGCCATCCAGACCTGCTCACCGTGTCACTCACCTTGTACAGTCCCACAGTAGTTGGGCTGGTCAGCATCTGGAGCGGAGGTGGTCTTGGTGGAGCGTCGCTGTCGCAACAGCCGGTGTTTGCGTCCGGAGAAGGACTGTGATGGGTCATTTTCATCCACCGGCTGAATGAACAGGCTGTCCTCCCCGATCTGAATAAGCCCAGTCTGTGCAGAAAACATGAACAAGATGAAAATGTGATGATTCCAAAGAGAAGAATGAGGAACCGTTTTAGATTGAAGAAAAGTAGAATTTTAAAAGCTAAAGTAATGAACATCATTTTGCTGTATCTTATGTTTTCTTTCTTATGATCACTAATGGATTGAAGCACAATAGTGAATCTGCCCACAGCCAGTTCATGAAAGCTTTATAAATAAAATAAGTACAACATTTCAGAGTGCCCTGTTTTGTACATTTGGTTCAGTGTCATTTACACTCTAGAAATGATTACAAGGCATTTTCTTGTCATCTGAGATGTTCTTGGAACTGTTGCACCACATTTTGTTGTCATTTTTATCAGCGTTGAGAGCAGCACCATTTGTGTTGAGGAATGCGATTCCAGCACGAGCACAACATCTGCAAAACACTTAAAACTTAGTGTACAAGTGGGATTCAGTAACAGTTTCGGGTAGGTCTTTTCCTAGGAAAATTCTCTTTCCACTGCCTACAGAGAACCAAGCTTCACTAACAGAAGTCAGAGGAGAAATATGTTACAGTACTACTGACATTGTTTGACTGACAAGCAAAGTCTGGGAAATGCAGCACAGAGACACCAAAGATTAAGACTAATGAAAGAAACATAATGCAAAGTACGAAAGCATGCACTGTATGGTTTGCATGCTGTGTGAACAAATAGCAAAAAGGAATTCATGAAAAATATGAGACAAGCACTGGAAATGATCAAACACCAGTCTTTACCGCAGTGTAAAGCATTTCACCAATACTGTATTTTACAGCACAGTAATCTTATGCTTCAGCCCCCAGGGACTGAGTGATAGTGAGGTTTTGTTTTCGGTGTGTCAGTCCTTGACACATGTGCACTGAGACATACTCCATCCATGAGTATGTTTGTGAGGGCAGAGAACACATGCTTAGGATTCACAGCTTTGCCATCTGGCACGTCTATGAAAATCCATTCCCAGCTCCTTAACAAGCCATCCCTGCTGTTTTCTGGGACAAAAGATGGTTTCTATGGAAACATCCAGACACCTTATGTTGAAGGAAATCACCATGACCCAATATTATGAAAGTATCAACAGAAGCAGTGACGGGTCGACACTTAGTCCCAAAATCAATTCATGAAAGTAATTTGGAGCGATGACTAAGAAACAACAGACAGACTGGCAGATGTAATGAAGGCGGTCAGAGAGACTAAATGTGGACGAACGTGATGCTCCGCTGACACAGTACCTTCATCAGCTGAAATAATCTAAGTTTCTAACAATACTGCAACTTGGTCAGTGGCCCTCCACTTCAAAATATGACTGTAGGTATCCCTTTCGCTTCAGTTCTGACATACAGGGTCAAGTAGGCAATAATAATATGCAATGTCTCATAAGACTTTCAAAATAAAGTTTGTATGGTTGACATTGTGAAACGGTCTCAGTTTGGTTAGGTTAAGGCACAAGAACTACTTCAGTCATGGCCACTTTTGTCAAAATAACTTTTATTCCCAAGCAGAATGTTACATTTGGTGGTATGGCTCTGTTCT